GATACTAACGTATCAGAATGAACGAAATGTCTCGTTCACTATACACTGAACAGTCCCCTCCCCACCAGGGTTGTATACGACTCAGAGTTGAATCATGAATCGACTCAAGAATCAGTCGTTTTTCTTCGAGTCATGAGTTGAGTCGAATCAAATAATTTGAAAGCTTAATGAATCATGAGTCGAGTCGATTCACATATGTATAGGCCATTTGAGTCAGAGTTTGAGTCGATTCAAGGTAACGCGAGTCACATTTTGAATCGATTCAAGGTAACTTGTCACAGTCTGCTCCAGCCACCAGGTAAGATAAACTTATTTTAAAGTCATGAAACTGCTAGTGAAGTAGGTGGTGAGCACCTTTTATGTTTTGGCTGGCATCAGCTACCTATAGTATTCAACTTTGGCAAGTCAGCATTGCAATTGCCTCAGCCTGTATTTATACCTATATGCAATCACTACATCTGTGAACTGTTACTGAAATACTCACATTGGGTTAGCTTTGTGAGTGCTAGTAAGGGGCACTAACAAGTATGAGATACATACCAGTTTACAATTGAAATAAAACCTTAAATAATTGTCTATCAAAGTTGTCTAGAAAGACCATCAATAACCCTCACATTTTTCTTTTCCGATGGCTCACAATTGCTAATTCGTGGTCGCGCATGACGTCACAAATAACTATTCGTAAACAAGATGAAAAATGAAGTTTTTATTTAATTCAAGCTGATAAATGAATAGGAACAGATTTAAAAAGATATGAGAACTTGATCTTTTTAGCCAGAAAATTATAATATGATAAAGGTTAAGAAAAAATATAACATGATTTGGTTTCAAATTAAAATTGTATGACGTCATTAACGTGGACAAATGTTTCTCGAGTTTGAAAAGATAAGAGTAATATTTGTAAGTTATTAGCAATTTCTGTCGACAATCATATTTACTGCCATATCTCAAACGTAAAGGAAAAGCAAAAAATCGTAGCGGCGCTACCATAGCTAAAAAAACGCTACCATAACGCAAATCAACTGGAAAGTGACGTTTTATTTAACTTTGTTATTTATAATAAACGCAAACGTCCATTTTTAGGCTTGGTGTTGTATTTTTCTGCTAAATTTAATAAAAATTGGTTTGTTTATTTTGAGTTTAATTAGTTATGACAAGCTAAAGCTAGGGTTAGGATAATTGACGTCATGTGTTTATACCTTTAAAATGTGGATCACACTACATTATTGGATTATGCCCTAAACTTTGTCCTGGTAAATTCTCAAGGCCACAAGGCAACAGGGCATGAACAAAATGTTTTTTCTTTGCATTTTGTGATTCTAATTAGCCTTACATTTGGTTTCATATTTGTCATATATTAAAGGCCTCATATTTGCATTCTTATTTAGAAATCAATACTGTGCTGGCTTGCAGCTGGCACGTAGTTCAAGTTAGGTACCTATCGATTTGCTGCTGACATTTTTATTTACATTATAGGTATGCAAAGTGTGTTATGTGGTTTCAATAATAATAGCAACATGTTTTTCTTTATTTTTATTTCATACATAAATAAAATGATTAATGTTAACTTTTTTAAAAATATCTACATGTATATAGTTCACTAGTTGTCAGGAATTACATATGCAGTATGCACCCATGAATGTATTTCACTACCTAGTAAAGCAAGCGTCACACTTCTTTTTGCAACAAAGGAGAGGCGCTGTAGGTTAGGTTTTAGGTTTTAGGTTTTAGGTGGTAGGTTTTAGGTTGTAGGTTGTGTTAGGGTAGGTCAGGTTTGATTAGGTTTGGTTTGGTTTGTGTTGATTAGAAAGCATCTCTGGGTACAGCGCCTCTCCATGGTTGCAGAAATAAGTGTGACGCCTGCTTTACGACTACCTACCTGTATTTCTTGGGTTTGCACAAACATTTTATGTTGAATAATTTGATGAGTCTGTCCAATGAGTTGAGTCAGAATTGAGTCATGAGTCGATTCAAATTATTTAACAGAACCCTTGAGTCATGAGTTGAATCGAATCGTTAAACTGAAAATATGCTTGAATCATGAGTCGAATTGATTCATATATTTCTTGTCATGTTTGAGTCAAGAGTTGAATCGAATCATTTCAATTAACGTTTTTGGAATCATGAGTCGAGTCGATTCAGTTATAGGAAACTCTCTTCTGAATCGACTCACCAAAAATTTGAGTCGTATACAACCCTGCTCCCCACACACACACACACACACTTCACCATCACCTCCTATCCTGTCAGCGTGATCCGTCCCCTGTGTTCGCGCTGATCACACATGGACGGGCAGTGTTCTAGGATGTAGGCGGCCTCGAGGATCCTCAGCTTCCACATGTTGTTCTCCCTGTCCAAGATGCTTGTGTTGTCCACCATGTCCTGTCTTGTGATGCGCTCACCGTGGGCACGCTGGGAGTGTTCAGCTGGACCACCCGCAGACAGATGGTATGAGAGTCGGCGGGACAGGGTCATCGTTGTGCTGCCTATGTAAGACGATGTGTCTCGGAGCTTGCAATCTCCTTTTTGACAATTGTATTTGTAGACAACATGCGTCTCTTGCAGGCAGCTTCTTTTGGGGCGGTTACAGATCACCAAATTGGCTGTTTTGGGGCTCTTGTAGTATACGATCAGCTTGACTTCATGCCCTTCCTTTGGAATCACATTTTTCTTCAAAATGCTCTTCAACACCTTCTCGTCACTCAGGTAGGCCTCATTCATCTGGTTCATGTAGAACAGCTTGTGAACTTGCGACTTGGGTTTGGGCTGGTCTTCACCTGTCATTTCTCTGCCGTTGGTGTGTGACTGTCTCGCTTGGTATTTGTCCAGTGTTGATTTGACTTCGGCATCAATGTCTGTACAGGAGTAGCCGTTGTTTACTAACATTTGCTTGACATGTTGAAGCTCTTGGTGCACTAGCTCCCATGTGCTACAGTGTGTCATGGCTCTGCGCACGTATGTGCGTATCATGCCAGTCTTGTAGCGTTTGGGGCACGCGCTGCGAGCGTTCATGCAACGGCCGATGTCAGTTGGCTTCCTGTACACTTGCGTGACAAACTTGCCTCCTTGTGCTGTGTCCACGTCAACGTCAAGGAAGTGGAGTCTGCTTCTTTCTTCAATCTCGTACGTGAACTTGAGGACGGAGTTGTCTTCGAATGTTTTCTTCACAACTTCTAGAGCTTCAGCGTCTTCAACAGAAAGTGATAAAAAACAAATACGCGATCGTATTCAACCAAACTTGTCTCAAAGAATATATATATATATATATATATATATATATATATATATATATATATATATATATATATATATATATATATATTAGAGATGTCAATCGGATACCAACTTTTTGGTATACCGATACCAAACCGATACCAATTTGGTATTTGGTATTTCAAGGCTAAAGCATTTGGTATTTTGTTGGTATTTTGAACCCTCACTAATGTAAAATAGGCTGTGAATTTGGTAAAATGTCGGTATTTCCCTCATATTCCCAAGTCGGTTTGGTTTCGGTATTTTCCAACGGCTATTGTAGGTATTTGGTTTGGTATCGGTATCACGATTTGCCGCAATTGACATCGCTAATATATATATATATATATATATATATATATATATATATATATATATATATATATATATATATATATATATATATATACCAGATATGGGAACAGTGGTGACGTCATCCTGTCGAACATGTGTTGCAATGTAACGTATAACAATCATGGACGGAAGCGCTTACTCGATTATGCTCGGCAACAGTGAAAAACTAAGTTTCACCCTAATTCGTTGACACTTGTTCCATTGTACGGACATTTGGATGCCTGCTGCCACCAGTGACGTCATCATAGTACGTTCATTTTTAAGAAACAATTTCCAGCTGCTTACCGTGCACAATTTGAAATCGATTATTTTTTTCGGTAAGAAATTCTTGGCCAGACACTGAAGCTGCCAAAACTCACGTGAGAACTTCGATATTGCACTTTGAGCCAGCGTCCTTTTGAAAAAAAACGAACTATAGTTCCCAGAATTTCTCGATCGGAGTGTAGAGGGTAGGGGCCAGCGTGCGTACTTGCGAAGTAGGCACAATTAGGCAAAAGTTTTTGTGAAGTGTTTGTCATTGTACGATCATTGTTCAAGTGAGACATTTTTCCAAAAGTGTAAAAAATGTACATCTCTCAGTGTTTTCCGAGGTACAAAAGAAATTATTTTTAACGAAAATAGCCATGTAAACGAATGCCAACATTTAGGAAATGTGGAAACGCGAGGAAGACGACGACTGACGCAGGCACTGCCTACGCTGCCTAGAACCGCCCCTGGAACACGCACTGGTTCTGTGTAAGATCCTATTCCTGACGGCTCGCATGGGCTCGCAGTGACAGCGCTCCACAGCTCTGGTGGTGGCGCTTCGGCCTCGGCAGTGAGGCTCTTCATCGAACCTCGGAACTACGACAGTGCAAACGATATCATTCAACTGAAAGCAGTACATACATAGATGGATATAAGCGTTTAGGATCCGCCATAGCTGACTGAAGACGTGATAACTATCTTTATCTAGCTATTGTTGCCAGCATGACATGTGAACACATGCAAATAGTAATGCAGCGAACAGTGGTAAGCCCGATTGTGCAATAATTTGAGTCTGCATAATCAGAAATTGTGAGCCGTCTAAACTTCAAAGTGACTAGAGTTTGACTGATAAATTTTGGAATTATGCAAATTACAAAGTAAAAAAGCTCCAATGACTTAATGTTGACCTCCGTGTAGGATAATCTACTTCGCCGGTGCATGCAAGCTCGTGGCTCTGGGCAGCCGCACAGCTTTGCCGCCGGCAAAAGAGACCTCCTTCCACCTCCCCCACAATCGATGGCTTCGACCGTCCGCGGCGCCCCGCTGGACGCCGACCTCCGATTGGTCGGTGGTCGAGACGCCCCGCCCCGCCGCTCGCCGATTGGTTGGCGGCGCGGCGGTCTCGGGTGGCGGCCGGCCCGCCCGCTGGGCGCCTCACCTGAGGTCGCCAGTGCTGCTCGCCGCCGCAGCTGCCGCGTTCGAGCTGTTTCGTCGTCAGTGTGCCGCCCACCATGTTCTCCCAAACCTCGCGCGATTGTGCCGGCGCCGGCGCGTACAACTTCTACCCCATGTACCACGCGCACCACGCGGCTGGCTCGCAGACGGCCGGCTATGGGGACTCAGCCGCCACGCACCTGACGCTGCCGTACTCCCAGTACCCTTCCGAGGCGGGCTACTGGGACAACTACCACCGCTCGGTGATCGGCGGCTACAACGAGTGGCACGGCCAGGGTTTCGGCGGCGCGCCGCCGCTGGCCGCCGCGGCGCCGGCCCACCTGGCCACCCAGCCGGGCACGCCGTCCCCACAGCAGTGTCCGGCCGGGCCGGGCGTGGCCGCCGGCAGGAACGACTCGCCCGACAGCGGCATAGTGACGGGCGCGGCCGACCTGCCGCTCTCGGCCGGCTCCGGCGGCCTGATGTCGGCGCCGGGGGGAGCGGCGGACCTGGCGGCCGGCGGCGGCTACCCCCGACCGCAGCCGCCGCCGCAGCAGCAGCAGCAGCAGCAGCAGCAGAGTCAGCAGCAGCCGCAGCCTGCCAGGGACAGCTGGGAGTGGCTGGACAGGAACTCGTACCCCACCTCGGCCCGACCGCCACCAGGTCAGTCCAGCGCACCCATCAGCACACTCTGACATGTCATTACGAGCCACTATAACACGCGTGTAACGCCGCTCGGTAATGTTGGCACATACAAACACATCAGTGTGTCCTGTCCGACAGTGTTCGCCACGGGCCCCAAAATCCCCAGCCCAGCCCGGCCCGGGCCCATGGGTTCAGAGCCCGGCCCAGCCCGTAGCCCGCTCTTGGCAAAATGTCCAAGCCCAGCCCGGCCCGGCCCGTCAAAAATAGCAATCTAGTTATTGTCTTAGTCTATTGCTATAATAAGCATGATTGATTACACTATTTTGAGAACAATTCAAATTGCATGAATATTAACATGACAATCATGACTCCCTTCTTTTCAATGAATATAATCATTTCAAGTACCTATGGCACAAATTTTAACAGTAACAGCAAGCACCTCAGTCAATTAGGTCATGATTACACACCTATAAAAAGTTAACATGATTATATTAACCACATTCTATGAGTAAAGTTATCTTGCAAGCTGATGTGTGTGAACATTATCATGCATAATTGGTGACTCTAATGCATAATTGAAGGAAGTATTTGCAACTTACTCTATACTTCCCAGCACTTACCAGCAGAAAAAAGCTTGACTTATGGGAATTGATGAATCTGTCTCATGTCTGGGATTGACCTTGCTGTTAAATTCACTCCATTGATGCTGCAATATCAAAAGCCTGAGAAAGCATACAGAATAGGTGACACTAGCTTTAGCACTGTCTTCCAAAAAAGAGAAAATCCATCCATTTATCAGCAAAACTGATTTAATCTATTTTCAATTCATGCCCACGTGTCAACCGAATCTCTGTGGACAACTATCTGCTGCTTTCCTTGCTCTTTTATGTTAGGCTCTTTTCAAGATATGGATATCGCTAGCAGCGTAAGCAGAAAACATGGTAAGTTTGAAATGTCATTTGGTACTTTTGCGACTTTTACGCATCATCATCATCAATTGAAAATTAGCGAACACTTCTTGATTGTCGCAGCTGCGGCAGGTAGCGATTCTGACCAATTGTATAATAAAACATATATAATCAAGTTCTTATTTTGTTTTTCGTTCGAGTTTTCAGACTTCGTGATCTTGGTTTTATTTTCTATTTGTTTCATTTTGTTTTTCAGCTTGATACTAACTTAAAAAACGTATTTATTTGATATAGGTACTGTTGTGTATACGAGTAATAAAGTAATCTTGGTGTATACTACCACCTATAGATGCCGCCACATAAACATAGCGCCATGATATCGCAAATTTTGTTGAGAAGGGGCTGGGTTGTTGTTGTGATTTATTTTGACAAATTTATGGACATTTAAGGAAGCTTTCATCGCGAAATACTCTGTAGAATTCAACGTTACTTACAGTGTGTTTCGTGAGTATCCTTTTAAGGTTCTGTTCGTTAAAAAGCCGTCGGTGAAGGAAAAAAGACTGTGTTGGAATTGTCTCACTATCGCCATATATAAGTGTTAAACTTAATGTAGCCCTGTAGCCCATCATTGTTGAGTGGCTTCTTAGTTTTTGGAGTTGTAGTGCTAAGTAAGTTATTCTGATAACTACATTTTAACTTTTAACAAACTAATGATGCTAGAGATTCTCTGATCTTTATGGTTTCGGAATTTTTATGAAAACCCTCCTATGTGTGACATGATGTGATATTGGATAATTCTCAAGATTCCCAAAATTCAATATGAAGTAGGTTTTCTTTCACATTGCTTAAATTTGGTTTAGTTTTAGTATTTTCCCAGTGGGTTTTGTTTGCATCAGTTTCCAAATTTTCTTAAATTGACATTAGTCGCAAAACCCATAGTCCACAAAGCTCTTGGCCCGGCCCGTCCATAGCCCGTTAACTAATGATATTTGGGGGCCCGGCCCAGCCCGTAGCCCAGCCCGGCCCATGGCCCGTTGGGCTGGCCCGGCCCGTGGCGAACACTGCTGTCCGATACGCCTAGCTAACTCGGGGTTCTAAACGTCGCCTGGAGAGGCCCAATTTGATCTGTCTGCACATGTCGTCTCCAACTTATTCTGAACACCTGCACAGTGCACATGGCCAGATTGCTTGCTACTCATTTAGGGTAAATACGAAATATGTGTGTTATCCAGCTTGTTTTCCTGATATGCCGTGTTTGCCGCCTTTCGACTGGTTCGATCATTTTGACTCTATGTAAGCTCTTGAATGTTCTTACCTCATTGATATCAAGGGAACAATAATCCCTCGTTTTGACTGTGCTGTTGCTTATACTGTTGCAATAGATGACACAAAAGGGACATGGAGGGACAAAAGAGGACATGGAGCCATTGCCGTGCCTCTCCATAAGAATTCACGTATGGCGGGGCCGGGGCATGTAACGAAATGGACCATATCGATGGATGCCTCCCGTTTTACCCGTGGCTGGGTCTGCTAGCGAAAGGATGTGTTTTAACCGATGGTGCACATTCACAATTTCGCGATAGTTTGACGTTGTGCCACTCAGCAATAACAGCATGCTATTTCGAAAGAACAGCTTCAACCATAGGCGTAGGAACAGGGGGGGCCGGGGGGGCCATGGCCCCCCCACTTTTTAGCCATTTTTTAAAGTAAAATCTTTATTTTTTATTTAAATACAAAACTAAGAGCAGGAAATGATTCAGCAAGGTGAGATGAGCACAAAACTGCAAAGAATTTCTTCATAGGGGTATTGGGGCTCCCACAAAGTGACATTGAAGTTTCGCTGGCCCCCCCACTTTTCGTGAGGTTCCTACGCCCATGGCTTCAACGCAGCACAGCTTTGTCTCAAGCTTAGTTTTCTCCTTACAAATTTGTTGACTTGTGAGGCATTTCACAGTCCTCCAAAGTATTCATCAAACTGAACTACATCAGTGGACCGTGACATGTATGCCATTTAAATAGCCCACCGATCCCAATAAGGCCTCGTCAAAGCGTCATTTCCCCCTCCTCAGAGCGTCATTTTCCTAATTGTCACCCCACATCAACTATTTATCGCGGACTTTACGCCGCGACCTGGAGAAATTCCGCAGGGTCGGGATTGTTGTGTAAAAGCTCCTGCCTGGTATTCGGGACATGTGCTGGCGGTCACCGGCAGTGTGGCAGGCACGGTGGTCCGTCTGGGGAGCGGGAATTATGCGGAACATTCAAAGCACCAGATAGCCGCCATTCTGGGGACGCACCAGCGCTTTGGTCAGGCTTGGCGAAGCAGTTTGGGCTAAATTTTGTATTTTTGTTGTTTCTGAATTATGTTTTTCACTATGACATTTTTTTTTGTTTCCATGTTATCACTGCGGTTTTATAACCATAAATAAGTTTTGATGCAGTATTGTGATGTGGACAAAAACAATTTCGTAATATGGCAGGAACGGAGGGATTATGAATGTTCATATCTAATGCGACAGTTTTTATGTAGGCATCGCGAAAAAACGTGCGAGTGATTGTGTGCAGATGCTGATCTGTTAACAGCTGTTATTTTTACGGCATTGTAAGTCTTTATTTCATGACTTTCCGACTCACCATGCATAGAACCACAAATAAATCATGCATGAAAATCACCAGCGCTTTATGATTATGTAGCAAATCATACCAGCCATATGCAACTTGATTTCTCTTGTGGTCAACTTGTGGTAGTGAAAGAACCTTCACTGTCCATAAATGTTTTGACTCTATCAATATACATAGCTGTTGATATCATATGTAAGCGTGATAATGATACAAATACTCCAGCTCTGCGCAACTGAACAATTTACTTTTTTTTAAAGAACGCCACGCATCACAAATATCTCTAGCATTTTTCCGTGTCTCGATAACGTGAAGAAAGCCCAACCCGTATAGATTACTTAGGCAGGGATCAGACAAGACCGTCCACTGATTGGGGTGGTCAAGTTGCATAATACATATATCATCTTCTCAGCCGAGTAAGTGAATATAAAAAATGCGTGATTTACCTGATAATACCCATATGCAAGCTGTTAACATGGTAAATTAAGCTTTTGAAGCAGCCAGGTCTAACTTATGGTTAGAAGGGCCTGTGTGAACAAATTCTGACTCTAATGGTGAGAGGGAAGTGTGACAGTGACGAATGGGACATCTGTTGCCTTTTTTGATGAGAACCACAGCGCTCATCACCGTCTGAATACACCGATGTAATTTTAGACCTCGGCAGCGACCATAAATCATAGCCGCCGCGAGTAACAGACAACTTCATTCTGCTTTATAAGTTGGTCAATTTATTTGTCCATCAAAACTTTTTTTGGATATTTCAAACCAACATCAATCAGGGCATCAATCGAAATTCATAATTGTTTCGGGTATATCATTTTCATTACACAGCCCTGTTGTTGTGCCAGTGCGATTTTCATGTAGTTAGATCTTAAGTACCTAAATGTATTTATTTCATTCATGTTCTAGTGATGAATGGAATGGCATACAACTGTGTCAAATATAAGGATACTTCACAAATACGTATGATAAAAATACCTTCTTCACTATCCCGGAAGGCGGAAGCGGTCAATTCTGTTTTTTTTTATCTCATAGATAGTATGAATGATGGAAAAAGCAACTTTATCGACTTAGACACGTCCGTGAAAGCTCACCTGCTTGAAGTGTTTCCAGAACTAAACTTTCTCCCGGTTCACATTACCCCAGCATCCATCCCGCCCCATTGAGCGGCCTCCCACGACACACGCCGTTCCACTTGGCGCCGTCACTTGAACTGACCATTAGCAGTGTTCCCTCTCCAGTGACTGGTGTCCCGGTGTCACTTCAGTTCGACCGCCGCACGCGCCGGGGACGCCCCGCAGAGCCGGCGACACCGGGAAGGGGCGCCGGGACAAATTGGGACGGGTGACGGTTGGGACGTGACGGGGCGGGGCCGGCGGCGGCGGTGGTGGGATTGAGACACAAGTCGGCTGGCTGGTGGTCGGTGACAGGCTGCTATCTATATTTCTATGCTAAATGTGAGGCGGCGGCAATTCAGAGGGCGGTGCGCTA